CCGATCCGGTTCGAACAGAATTAATTGCAGATCATAAAACGGATACGAATACCTGTGGGCTATATTAAAAAATTTTGTTTAAAATTTAAATGGATAGTACTATTCATTTGGTCATAGAATCGGGTTGTGGAAATGGATAGTACTATTCATTTGGTCAACATGTGCCCTTTTCAAGAAATGCTAATGTTGGGAGAGCTTCTCTCGCAAGTGACCGATTCGGTTCGAACAGAATTAATTGCAGATCATAAAACGGATACGAATACCTGTGGGCTATATTAAAAAATTTTGTTTAAAATTTAAATGGATAGTACTATTCATTTGGTCATAAAGAAAACTAACAGATTAATTCCGTTAAGGGGCGGAAGGGAGCAAATGTACATTTCTAGGAGTACCGAGTACCAATTTATACGCGTAATAGGCAACTAGGCCTCTTATAGTCTTATGAAATAGTCAAATATTTGCGACTAAGTCTCTTAGACGGAATGGTCAAATGTTCACGTTTCACAACTAGGCCTCCAATGGAATAGTCAAATGTTTGGATTTAGACGGAGTTGGACGGAAGGGCCTTTGTGGAACAACATTTTGTCCAAAATCTACCTGTTTATATTTTCTGATGTTTTTATATAAAAACATATTATAACGATTTGATATAGAAAACGTAAAAAGGTGATTAAAAAATGTGTTCATAGAAAACGTAATAATTTTGGAAAAAAATAGCAATCGAAACAATTTTATAGGGGCAGTGTGTTTGGAAAAGGAGATTAGTTGGGACAAATTTTTTGCAAAAAATATTATATCACTTTTTTTTGTGTGATGTATGTGAGATAAAAAGGTGAATGAAAAATGTGTTGGTGGTGCAAGTAAGTCAGTATGTGTAAATAATGTGCAATCCAAACATATTTTCTTTTTATTTTATTCTTTGACGGGTCAATTTGGCATTAATCCAAAATCTTATAATTAATAAAGATCAAGAATGTACAATGACGAAAAAAAAAAAAGAAGTATTATGGGAACATTTGTTGTATTCATGAAAGCAGGGACTAAGGAGTTGGGCCCAACTTCGCTTGAATAGTCTCTGTTTAATAACAAAAAAGCCAAATTTTTATGTTTTTTGAGAACAATTTGTCCATTCATCCTTTTTTGGGTACCTTCCAATTCCATCCGTATAAATGAAGATCTTTGGGATTATTATGGACTTTTTTCTCTTTCGGTATTCTTTTTTGGAAAGGCAAAAAGGACAAGGCTCCTAAGCACAATAATTTGCAAATTAATTCAAACGAGAAAGGAGCTCTCTGGTATACTATTACTAGTTTTTATTACTATAATGGGTGTCGAGAACGCCTCAGTTTATTGATTAAAATTGAAGTTCTAGAAATTAGAGATTCTTGATTCTAATCTTTTTGCTTCATTCCTACATTTTAAATCTCACCCCTCCCCTTGCTGCAACAAGTATTTTGCTAGTCCGGCATGATTTGGCCCCAACATGGTACGTCATTTCCAAAATGGTGAAAACAAAGAGAGAGAAAAATTTGTGCAAATTACAAAAAAGAAGCTAAGGCCTTATTTGAACTACAATTTTTCTCTAAAATTTTTTTATATTTTCCATGCGCACATTTTTTACTCATCTTTTATCTCATATATATCCAATCACTATAGTATATTTTTCTATAAATACCCTAAAACATAGTAATCTAAACGATTTTGGGATGCATTAAATATATTTGTTTAGGTAGGATTTATTAAACTTTAGCCACGAGTCCCAAGCACCCCCACCTCACCATCCATGAATATCAGAAGAATACCGATTTATAGACTACTGGCTTGGCCTGTAGATTGGTGGCCTATAAAAACATACTTCCTCCGTCTCAATTATTTTTTTTATATTTCAAAAATTCAAAATTTTAAAAATAGTGATTTGATTGTAATGCTTGTACTTCTATTTTCACTCTTATTCCCACATTTAAAGAATGGACTATATTGAAAGAAAAATTTAAAAAATATTTTGACTTTCTCAATACAACAAACATTTTAGAATATTCCAGAATGAAAGTATAACAATTTCAATGAAACGAAGGGAGTAATATGTTTGAGAATTTCAGGATAATCATTTTCCCATGATGCTTGGTAATCAATTCAAAGGCATGTGCTCTCTATCGTGGTGTGTAATATATTGGGGGGGGGGGGGATCTTTTAGTTCTCTCTCTCCCTCTTTTTTTCTTGCTTATTTTTTTATCTTTAATTATTTTTTTTGGGATATTCTAACAAGTACCACCTAAAAATTGGTGCACAAATCGTTACTCTAATATGTGGTTCGAAGATGTAGGACAAGAATAAGAAGCGAGCTCGATATCTTTTTTTTTTTTTTTTACGTAATAAAACTTTAAAATTGCAATTCGAGAAGTAAGTGATAACTTTACAATTTCTCTTGTTTAGGTAGTGAATTTGTTGGACATGTGATCTAGTAGATGAAAGGAGTAGTTCCTAAATCAGAGGCTGCTTTTATGGATTCTTGCTTTTACAGTAATTTATGTACATGTGCCGATGAATCTGGTCTGCTACCTTGCTTTTACTAAGTTAAGTTTACGCGTAATCTGTACACATTCATATCTCCATATTCCCAAGTACACTTTTTTTTTTTGGGGGGCAAAAGTAACGAATTAATATCAGACGCAAGAAATTAGCATTTTCCAATAGGAAAGCAAGAGAAAGAATGCAAAGTTACGTACTAAATCTTACACTTCTCCATGAGGGTTCATTTTTTTTTCTCATGAGGGTGCATTTGATAAAACCGAATTTTGAAATATGAAATTTTAAGTCTAAAATATGAATCCATTAAGTTATTGAATAGTTAAATTAAATCTGAGACATTTGAATGTATATCACATTAAGTAATAAGTAAATATATTATCACTTGTTTTTTGGAGCAAGTTTTGCGTATGAATTCAGTGTCACTTAATTAATTTAAATGTTCAATTTTTTGCTATCAAACGACACGATGAGATCTAAATCTATTAAGTTGTTTAAGTGTTGAATTGGGTTAACTGTCGGTCTCTATATTAAGATGGGTCCAATTGAAATGGAACTTAATTATTTTAGTACATATCTCTTTTTCGGGGTAAATTTTCAACAAATATCCCATGCCGACTTAACCCTCTCTAGTTGTAAACATTTATCTATGACGGTCGGATTAGGGTACCTATAAACATGCAATTTAATTTATTATAGACAAGTCACATTGGTTGTGTTTTTATAGGAGATTATTTGAGATAATTATTTGGAAAAACAATGTAGCACTTTTTTATAAATATAATGTATGTGAAATAAAAAGATAAGAAGGTGATTGAAAAATATACTTGTGATGCAATCAAATAAATTTTTGGAAATAATAAGTTATCCAAACAAACTTTGATATAACTACGATTTGCAATACGCTAACATTTGAAGTCCCATTTGAGCAGTGTAGTGAATAAGTGAATAACCTCTATTCATATAAGATGATTGTGTATTGAAGTGGGTAAAGAAAAAATGCTAGGAATAAATGCACTTGTGTTGAATACTGCTTATAAACCATACTCCTTTTTTTTTTTGGGTTTTTTGAATGAAGCTTATAATCCAACTAGTCAATACCAAATTGACCATCACATGAAATTTAAGATTCTTCCATAAAGGTTGATTAAGTGTTCAAGTATTTTTAATTATATTATTTGGATACATAGTTAAATAAGTATTTATTGTATTGAATAATGTATAATTTTAAATATTTTAAATGTATTTATCTCTTTATTTAGTTCATAATACAGGATAAAATGATTAAATTTAATGTCTTTTTTTAAACACAAAAACTATCCTAAAAGCACAAAATTTTAGCTTTTGCTAAAAGTGCATTTAACACAAAAAACTCCATTTCTAATTTCATCATATGATGTTTATCAAACACTTTAAAAGTACTTTTAACACCCAAAAGTTTTTGTTTTTAACTCAAAAGCACTGCAAACCCAAATCAAGCCTAGATCTCTTATAATTTAGACATCACTAATCCCTCTACATAAAATCATCTATTTTCCCTTTTTTTAAAAAAAAAATTTGTTTGATCAAGTCCTTTTTCATTAAAAATAAGATAGTATAGGTGCTAGACTTTTGTTAAAAAAAAAAGATAATTGTAGTACTAATAAAGTAAAGAACAAGGATTAAGTTTTTATAAACTATTAATGTAGAGTTTTTCTCTTACATTTGTAGTTATTGATATATGCCATCTATGTAAAAACTAAATTTCAAATCTAAAATTAGATTATGCTGCTAGGGGTGGAAATGGGTTTAATCAAACCGAATATCCACATGTTCAAGGTTGTTTGATTATTTTAACGAGTTTAAAATTTTGTTTAAACTGGATTTATTTATTTGTTGAATCTAGTTTGAATGAATTTTTTTTTATCGAATTTGAATGTTATCGAATATCACACTTTTAATCTTAACTTGACTAATTGTTGAATCAAGATCGAATGAGTTCTTACCAAATCGAACTCAATTCGAGTATCAAGTACTTTGATATCTTTTAGTCCTATATGTGACAGACATCCAATATCGTACGTGTATACATTGATAGTGTATAAAAAATTTACCCATCAAGAATAATGCTTGTACTATTAAAACTTAAAAGCACAAATTTTGTTTTTTAGAAAGCACAAAATTTGTTGATTGTCCCTTGGACCGGCCACTAGCACAAATAGTTGGACAAATCTCATTCTCAAAACTCAGAAGTACAGATTATTTGGCCCAATCAACATCAAGCACGACGGAAATGGGCACACCGAAGGGAGCCCCGAAACCCATTGTCAGGTGGGCTTCCCCAAATTTTTTGATCCAACTTTATTTAGAAACAATAAACCAACGTGGCAAAATATCATTGGATATTCGGATTTGAGAGAAACTCATTTAAATAATTTTTTTTCTTCTCCTATAAATACCAAAACGCCAGATCAGCTCGCCTTCACATTCAAATTAAAAAAAATTCAAGGCGGCTCTTTCTCTCTTCTCTTTCCCCAAATTCTTCCCGCCACGATTTCTCAATTTCTCTCTCTCTCTCTCTCTCGCTCGATTTTACCAGACAAATTCAAAGTTCAATTCTACCTTGAATTTTACTCATCGAAGTTTAATCGAATTTCTGACAGATTTCAATTGTTGATGTCTTGATGAATTTCACTTGTACGGTTCTGCACGTCCAATTATAACGCATAAACCCTAGATTTTTTCCCCTCGTTTGTGTTTTTTTTGGGCTTTTAATGTTTTTTTTTCTTGTTGATTTAAACTAGTCTATCTGCTGTGGACGTTTTGTAAATAATTCTTGGGTTAATTGGTAGTTTTGAAATGATAAATTTTATTTGAATTTGTTCTTCTGGTGACGCGATGGAATTTGCAGAAGAAAGTTGAGGCAAGATGAAAGCTTCAGGTCAGCGGAAGAGAAAGGTAGGAGAGGTTTCTGAAGAGAATCGGAAAAGTATTGGTGCGGTAGCGAAGAAATCTGCTAATGGAAGCTGTAAACGGCGTCCGAAACCAGCAGGTAAGCAGCTTTGAAAAAAAAAAGCTTTTTCTGATTTAAGATTTTACTCCTAATTGTATCTTCTTCGGGGCCCATTCTTATTGTTATCCATTAATTCTTTCTTCTTCTTTTTTTTTTGTAAGATACAGCTGCAGCATTGCTTTCCTTTTGTGTTTTTTTTTTTGGCTAGTTTGGTTCATTATGAGTGTCCAATTTATTTTATCATTTATGGAAATTACATTTGGGTGTTCGCTAATTGGTTGCTTAGGGATTTCTAGATGACTTATTCTGCCCGTTCCACTTTTTTGGTTGTTATTGTTTGAATACCCCCGAACTCACTTTCAAATGGTATCGTTGGAAAAAAAAAAGGTTGCATGAGGGGAAAGATATACAAGGAACTCAATTAGAGCCCGGATGTCTGTTTACACGGCAGTAAGCGTTCATGTCTTCGACCTTCTTGTTTTCAGGGGAGTGTAAACTTTTGTTGCCCAAAAATGACCTAAAGGAGAAACCTTCAACAACTGCTCATTCACCTGGTGAAACAACTAAAGTTACTAACCCATCTAATAAGGAAACAGCGAAGGTTCAAAACGTCAAGGTTCAGAAGGGAGACAGTTTGACTTCTTCAAAGATTAAATTGCAGCTCTTTCCAGTAAATTCAATGACTCGGTTGAAGTTGGAGAAGGTGAAATTGTTACTGTGATCATGAACGAGTTGGATTTTTGAATGAAATTCAGAATATTCAAAGTGACACTGTGTTCATTTGACTTTTTTAGGATGGTCATAATCCATTCTTGGAACTCACTCTAAGTGTTCAGAAGAAAGTTTCATCTGTGATTAAGCACCTTAATACCAAGTGGGGCTGCTCTAGTGCAGCGCTTGGAGAGCTTATGCTTTTTCCCTATGATGTAAGATTGGAAAACATTGCTTCATCCAGAAGCTGGACTTCAGATTGTGGTAGCTTTACCGCTGGAGAGCTGCATGAGGCTCTAGAAACTCCTTCAATTTTTCGCTTAAAGTATGTGGACTAACTATTCCATCTAGCATGTGCTTCTAATTTGCTGTATTACCTTATGATTCTATCTTGTTATATAGGTATGGATGGTTCACTAATCTTCATGTGGAGGCTTGTGGGGTTTCTCTTACATCTACAGCTATGGAGGAGCAGTCAGAATCCAAGCATAGTCAGAACGACTGCAGTTTGTTTTCAAGGATGACACATGATCAAAGGAAAACTATTACTGCTGCAAGTCAAGGGATCCAAAGCCCAATCAACATGCATGAAGAGGAGGATGTAGCCAGAACTAAGCAGATGCCAACTTTGTTATCTGTTGACCACGTGGTAATTTTTTTATGTTTTGCTGTCTAGGTTTGATTTTAATCTAACACATGCCAAAGCATTTCAAGTGAATATCTACTTGCTTTCAAATCATTAGTGACTTCCAAGTTTTGGCCTTTTGTGCTGCACCTATAAATTACAAGATTGAGTGCTTAAGTTTTGACCGTTCATTGTTACAAAAGGTTTCAAAAGGATTTTGCATTTGATTTCAGCAAAAAATCTTGCTGCCACAGTTTTGAATTGTTAAGGTGATTTATATTATTCATAAACAATTTGATTTATAAATCCATAATCAATTTGTTAAGCCCTTTTGCAAGACTGATGTGTATTAGATGAGTAGAAGTTTTATTCAGCCAATAGAAATTTATGTGACTTCTCGTCAGAGCAATTTTGAGATGTTCAGAGGCATTTGAGGCATAATATGCTTGTCGTTTTAAGGTTTGAACAGTTTGCAATTATCTGATTTGTAGATTGTTGTTAACTTAGCTTCCAAATTAGGCATGATTATAGTGTTACATAGTAGCACAATAAGAAACATATTGTAGTGTAACATTTTTAGTGGACTTTAATGGAAACCTATGGAAGGGATCACATCGATAGAGTAACTAAAGTAGCAATATTACAAATTTGGATCCTCTAGTTGCACATGGTTGTTGTGGTTGTTATGGCACATGGAATTGGTCAGAATTAAGGGTTGACTGGCCAACATAAACTTTGAGAGTCTATGAGTAGGTTTTTTTTGGAGCACACGACTGTTATTTTTTAAATATAATGAACTGCAACCATTTTTTTGGCAAATACTTGCCTAAGGGGCTGGCATATTTGGCTCCAGTATGTTGTTTAAAATGAATTTGCAATTGGTTTTCTTTATCAAACTGGCTGCATATTATTTTAGGTCAATGATGTTCCTCTACCCCCAGCAGTATCATGGGATGACAGCTTCACTAGCTTGAGCATAGGAGGTTTGCTATCTGAAGCTTCTTTGCTAAATAAGATAAATAATCCCACTGAAGGATCAGACAACAAATCCAACTTGCAGCCTATTGAGTTAGTTTCTGATATAAGCATAGGAGCTTTGCTGTCTGAGGCATCTTTGCTGGACAAGATCAATAATCATGAACAGAGATCATGCAAGTCTTTAAGCTTCCAGCTAACTCAGCCAGTGTCTGATTCATGTAGAAGGGACTTGATGTCTGGGGTGTCCTATCAATGCAACGTTGAGAACCCTGATTTGAAGGCAGAAAATGAAAAAGGATATCAGCCTGTTTACTCAGCTTCAGAAATAGTTATTGGTGGCTTACAGTCTGAAGAATCCTTGCAAGGCAAGATTAATGCCTTTGATGCAGCATCCAGCAGGCCAGGACCGAAGCCAACTATGGAAAATGGAGCTTCACAATTTTTATTTCCATGGGATGATAGTATGATATCCTTGAGTATTGGAGGCTTGCTCTCTGAAGCATCCTTACAACGGTACTTTAGTTGTTGCAATCCAAAGTCAAAAGAGGCTGCATCAAGCGTTACCTTAAATTCATCTGAACCTTTTGCTGCCTCACAACTTAATTTACATACTCCAGCGCCTAAGTCACTTGTACCTGACTCATTCTCTTCTATCTTGGATGCTGAAGAGACATGCCATGCCTTTTCCTTTGAAAATCTCTCTTCATCAAGAAAAAAATCTATGACTTCTGATGGAGGAGACAAATCTAAGGGATCCTGCAATGCCTTCAAATCAAAGACATCCACACCGCCTCATACAAATGAGGTTTGTTGAATCTTTCTATAGCTTGACTGCTGTAAACATTGGGAACAGTTGGTTTATACTAATAGATGTCAAGGTTATATTTTGTGTGTCAAAGATGATTTTTGAGCCAAAGGTACAAGTTGATTTACAGCATTCTTCGTTCATATCTAATCTGGAAGTTGAGCCAATGGATGTACTAAATCATCTGTACTGGCTTCCAAGTTAGTATACCTTTGCAAGCAAACTTCTTGGCTTCATTTTTGATAGCTTGTTTGAAATTGATGACTTGCAAAATTTAGTTGAAGCTCTGTTTGAAACTAGCAATTACATTCCCAAATGATCTTAATTGAAGTATATGTACTACTTATAAAAATGATGTTAAGTGATTCGATGATCTAGAGTGAGGTCTCTTTGCTATTCTTGTGGGAAGAAATTGTCACCAGAGCTTGGGGTTTCATTTTATGAATTGAACAAGTCTAGTAAGCTTGGGATTTTTTTTTATATGGTCAGTTTCGTTAATATCATGGTCTATCTATTTTTAGATTAGCCCCTTATAGAATAGTGCTTGGTCCTTGTGTTTGAAGGAGATTTGTCAGCAATTACTGGGCTATATTTGTCAGCTTGCTGAATGTTATTCCTAGGCTTCAGAAGTCAACTTTAGCGTTGTACCTGAAGCACCACATTTTTCGTGCGGTTTAATGAGCTGGTGCACATTGTATCTATGACTTTGTAATATGCTATTTCAATAACATAGTTTAATGAGCTGAATGTTATTCCTAGGCTTCAGAAGTCAACTTCAGTGTTGTACCTGAAGCACCACATTTTTTGTGCGGTTTAATGAGCTGGTGCATATTGTGTCTATAACTTAGAAATATGCTATTTCAATAACGCAAGTTTTTTTAGTTTCTATCAATCTTCTAGCACACTGCCTGACATGATGCTGTTTCTCATTCTTGATTCACTAATTCATGAAAATTGTCTTCTTGGTCGAGGAGGTTATATTAACTTACGGAACCATCTAATAGTAGATTAAATCTGTAGTATAACATCTGGAACTGATGTTTTTTGGTCAGCTGGCTGGCACTTGTTAAGAGACTTTTCTGTTGCTGATCTTGTAGCTCGACGAACCAAGCCAAGCTTGCAAATGATCCTGCTGACCAGAAACTGATGACTAAAGTTTTGCCTCATCATCAAGGAGCGTCTGATGAAGCCAGCAGCCTTGGGCTAAGAGCAAATAAATGCGTATGTAAATCAAATATTTTTCATGGTGTTCTCTCTGGGTCATGTCATTAATCAAATAAGGCAAATAGTTGACATTCTTTATCACGATGGCATTCGCAGAACGAGTTCATGGGACCCTTTGATCCGAGTCTACCCACTTCACTGCAGGTTACTACTGGTGGAGACGGTCTTAGTCTCAGCGGATTTGTTTGGTAGCTCTCAAATTTCTGTGGTGAAAGAAAGCAAATCAGCTTGAAACCACTCGAGGAAAAAGTTCTAGAAACTGAGAAATTTGTGTTTCCTTACCTGGTAGTGTTGCAAAGACAGATTTGGTTCGTTGTGTAGGAGGAATGATAGTTGCAAGGAAAATTTACAAATTGACCATGGCAAGAATTACACCTTGCTTCGGATCATATACAAATTAGAAAATCCCCAAATTGGGATTTCAGGTATTAGATTAGTTAATGGTATGTGAATTTTGGTATCTTCACCACATTTTTAAAAATTATAGGAAAGAGGTTTTTCTTGTGAGTTGTGACTACCTGGTGGTCAGAGTCATAGTTAAGCAATTAAAGTTGCTGATAAATATCTGATACTTGGCTCAACAATTTGGTGTTTGTACGAGGGTCGAGAGTTCGCAGCATCCATTATAATTTTCTGATCATTGTTTTTGTATTCTTTTTTCTTCCTCTTCTGTTTGGTTTAATTGAATATTCATTTCACTTATGATTTTTAAACTATTCAATCAATTTAGATTAAATTGTTAAATCGGCGATTATGTTTTTGGTTATCAGCTCAATGCGTGCTCAGAGTGCTGCTAGTAGGGATTAACAAAATAAATTTTCTCTTAACAGGCAATGGCTTTAAGAAGAATTATTCAAGATTTTTCTAATTTATACACTGAAAACTACTAAAACTAGCAATGAGAAGAGAAAAATTACAGCAAAAGAACTTTCAAAAAGTTTGAAGTGGAAATTTCTTGACTAGAGACGACGAAATTCCTTGAAATAATGGTCCATTATTCATTGGTAATGTCTACGTATTGCATCCAACTTTGGTTCTTTCTTGCGACGGAGAAAGCAGAGGCCATCACTGGCTCTAATTCTCGAATGTAAATCACAGTAGCCGGCCAAGGTGACAAGGACATCACCTGTCATTTTCATCTCGTAAATTCTTTTTCAGAAACTATTTGTTCAGATCAAAATGCTGATGAATGTCATAGTTACGATGATCAGCACTTATGGTTCCTGTAATACAACAACATTTCCTAGTCATTATCGTCACTTAGATACTCAGAAAAAGTCTAAGAAGATTCGGAGACTCGCCGTGGTGAAGTGATCATGGGATGCGTTCAGGCCAAAGGTGGATCATTCACACCTACTAGGAATCTAGACAGGTTGAAGAACGAAAATGGATATGTTAGAGGTGGCCATAGTGGCGAACAAAAAGTTATTGTTGTTGGTTCAAAAGTAGTGCATATTAAGGATTTGAAGAGGGATTCAAGGCCTCGAGATAATGTTAAGAATGTGGCTGTTGGGATTAATGGAGGTGGAGAAGATAGAAAAATCAGCAGAGAAGGTGAGAAAGAAGGTGATCATGGTGGGAATGTTTCACGGAGGATTATTATTAAGCAGATTGCTGGGGATGATTTCGTTGAAGGATGGCCTAAATGGCTTGTTGATAACATTCCTAGAGATGCTCTTGCTGGCTTGGTTCCAAAGAGTGCTGATTCTTATGATAAACTTGCAAAGGTCAGTATAGCAGAGAAAAATAAAATATAGATGTTGAGTTTCTTTTGTTCAAGAATCAAGACTAAAAGGTTTAGCAAAAGAAGATCAAAATGAGAACACTAAAATGGTGCTGTTCTTCAATATAAGTTTCATATATTGTGCAGTGCTGTCTTTTACATGTAAAGTTGCTGACTTTTGTTCTCTTCAAGCAAAATGGTATTACTGTATTACTTTCTAGTTCCTAGACATTTGAGTGTAGCTATGTTCTTATTTTATATTTCTTCCAGCAAGATTTTCTAAGAGAGACAAATTGTACTACAGTACAAGGTCTATTCATATCTACACAATCACCTTTGAAGGTGATGGATGGTTGTTTACAAATTGCTTTGAAGGAGCAGAAAAGATCATGAATAAATGTTTTTCTGTTGTCTGGCCTATGCAGGTAGGCCACGGAACATATAGCAACGTGTATAAAGCTCTAGATAGGGACACTGGAAAAATAGTTGCCCTAAAGAAGATCCGTTTCGATACGTCGGAACCAGAAAGTGTCAAGTTTATGGCAAGAGAAATCATCATACTGAGGAAGCTTGATCATCCTAACGTTATTAAGCTTGAAGGATTGGCCACTTCAAGAATGCAGTATAGTCTCTATTTGGTCTTTGATTTCATGCAGTCAGACTTGACCAGAATCATATCTCGTCCGGAAGGAAGGCTTACTGAGCCACAGGTCAGATAATCTGCATTTAGCAACTCAAGTTATCATCAGAAACTTTTTTCTGGTAGCTTTTTGAAGCCATATAAACAACTTGAATATTGAGAGTGAATGTTCTCCCGGTATATTACTCAGAAAATTTACAAGGCATGGTTCTGAAAAAATTTGTATTACAGAAAGAAAAAATGAGTGTTACTCGTCAAAAAGTTTGTAGTACAGAAACAGCATGTGGCACGACTGGGATAGTGGGATATAGTCATGCTTCCTTGAGAGAATTAAGAGTATCTTATTCGCGAAATTTGGCACTTAAATATTTCTTGATGCAGGTGAAGAGTTACATGCAGCAGCTGCTCTCAGGTCTACAGCATTGCCATGAGAGAGGAATTTTGCATAGGGACATTAAAGCATCTAACTTGCTAATTGATAAAAATGGAATGCTCAAAATCGCAGATTTTGGCCTTGCTAACTTCTATCAGCCTAAACCAAAGCGGCCCCTAACAAGCCGAGTTGTCACGTTATGGTATAGAGCTCCAGAACTTCTTCTAGGTTCTACTGATTATGGAGTTGGCATTGATCTTTGGAGTGCCGGATGTCTTCTAGGGGAGATGTTTGAAGGAAGGCCTATCATGCCCGGCAGAAATGAGGTAAACTTCTGCATAAATCCTTGAACTCAGAGGACAACTCAAGTCAACACTCTATAAATTTCGACAGCTGATCAAACACACCAAGCAAAATTTGTAAGGGACTATTTGCCTACTCTTGGTTGTTAAACAGGCTCGTAACTGCCCGAATCAAAAGCAAATTTCAAGACCAAAAAGTGTTGTTTTCAATCCTTTCCAACAAACATATTTTGGAACAATGAACCGGCTTACACTGCTTAGTAGCAGAAAGTAAAGGGTCCAGTTATTTTACTTTCTAGGTTGCGTATTATTAACCTTTACAATCTATACAATAAGTTGCATGTCTTTGTTTATCTTTACTGAGGTTCAGATTGAGCAGCTTCACAAGATCTTCAAGCTGTGTGGTTCACCTCCAGAGGACTATTGGAAGAAAGTCAAGCCACCAACAACCTTCAGACCACCTCCACATTATAAACCTTGCTTCCGGGAATCCTTTCCAAATTTACCTGATTCGGCGACAGATCTTTTGGCTACACTTCTGTCTCTTGATCCAGCATATCGTGGAACTGCTACTAGAGCTCTTGAAAGTGAAGTGAGTTGTCACATTCTGTTTGTATAATGATAGCCATGTTCTGCATCTTAACTATGGATGCTGAATACTGATTTTAGCTGGCAAACAAGATATCATGCTTGTCTAGATGATGGAGGATATATTTCTATCTAATTTACTAGTTACCGGAACTGTCATCATTGAAAAGTCATGGCCACGCTCTAAAACTTTATGTTGCAGTAGCCTATCCTCATGAATGATAAAAAAAAAATTTCCTACTTGAAGATGCTGGAACTTGAATTTCAGACCCAAAAATTGTTTGCTTACCTGTCAAAACCCAGTGAAAAATATAAATATAACTGATGAACTTGGTTAAGTTTGCGACGTAGAGGCATAATCTCCACCTTTGATTGCAAATAATGCATCAGAAATGCTTTCTCGCCATATGAACATTTATTCAAGTATTCAACACTTCATCGTAGTGTGAACGTTTATACTTGTTGCTTAGGTTTGCTCCTTCCATGTTTACAGTTCTTTAATACGAGCCCATTAGCATGTGATCTTTCTGGTCTGCCGGTGCTGAAAATCAAGGAGGATGACCTATCCCAATACACTGATCGCATAAGGTATGTATTTGGCAAGAATCTGAAGACTCTTTCTTTCAGAAGTCACAGTTGTTATATGTATTTTATTCATTTCTCGGATACAATGCAAAACCTTTTATTCTTGCAGCAAAGGTTTTCTACTGCCAAGCAGTTATTGGAAGAAATTCCTAGTCTTTCTCTTCATTTATCCAAGTTAAAAGTTAATTGCAGAAGTTTCCATTTCTAGAAAACAGACATGGAGCCCGTTTGTTTTCGAGTTATCCAGGAAAATTGTTTTTTTGGAATATTCTCTTGATAGATTTTCCAATTACCCTTTTATCTCATAAACATATTTCTACGAAAACTCCAATCCAGTCGGGCTCGGTGTAATGTATTTCTTACTTGAGCTTTCACTAAAGCACAAAGAGAGGACATAGTTTGACAGTTCACAATATTCACCTCAAAGAGAAGGTTGCAATCATCAAGTTTTCAGTTTTCTGGTTCTGAAATTCTGATACAACGTTTTACAATCTCATCTAAAAGCCTCAACTGTTGGAGAGGTAATAGTTTGTGTTCACAAAACGCAACACTCGAGTCGAAATGTATTCTTCAATAGCTCTAACAGACACATTACCAGCTTAGAAAGGTTCCAAAATCTAGGATCTCAGTTTATTGTCCAAAATGATATGTACAGGAGAGGATATGCCATGAGATTGTATACTTTTGAACCATGATCATTTTGCTGGCCCTTTTATTAGCATAAATGGAATCAAGAATAGAGCTTTATAACCAACTCAGAAGAGCTTCAGTTTCTTTGATTATTTGTTTTGTACTGGAAAACACCATGACAACTCAAGATAACTTGAGATGGAGGGGAAGGATAGGAGTAAATTCTTTCTTGACCTGTGGCTTAAGTCGTTAGTTTTCTTTTGTTCTTGGTACTATCTGAAGCAATTCAAGTGGTTTAGTAATGCCTATTGGTGTATCACATATCAGGCTACTATCTTCCCCATTCTTTAAAATCCACAATATACTCTTAACGTTCTGATTCTTATCCACTCTCCAGTATGGCGGTGAGATAAACTGATCACACCATTTTTTTTCCTGATAGGATCAGGGCTTCAAAAGCAAAGCAAGTGTCCCGCAGAAATCGTGAAGGGCATAAAGAAAAGGTCTCATTCCCTGAAACGGTCAAAGAAGATTTTGGATCTTCAAAAGAGGTACTTAATTTTGTAATTTCTACACATCTCAAGTGTAAGTGTTACCTGGCCAAGAATCCACAGAACCCTTTGGTCTTAAATCTGTAAGAGTTGTGCGTTTGAAAATAAATGACCCTCTATATGTAGAAAACAAGATATCTACCAATTTTGTGATCATGCTTTTAATTAAGCTTCAAAAGGAACTCTTAAGATAAAGAAATTACTTCACCAAGTTCCAACATTTTCCCTCGGTAAGCTATATGACCTGCTTAATTATGTTTTCCTTTCTTCACAATGGATTTTATGCATCACAGACACGTTTACATTGATATACTTGTCTCATCACAGCAAGAAAAGCCAGCAGAGATAAGCTTACATAGCCAAGAGATAATGAATAGTGCAAGTTGCAGCAGCTCAAGTGCAAAACAAGGAAGGACTCATGAAAGGTCACCTCCATCTCCACGTCCAGCTTTTCATTCTCGGCAAGGCAGATCTGCGAAGACAGAGGCACATCCTAATGCACTCAAGAATATCCAGAACTATCCTCTCCTGCTAGCCTCTCTAACTGAAGCTGCCAGCCGTTTTGAACAGAACAGATTGAGTCTCAATCACAGGTCTCTTTCCACAATGGACTTCAGAAATCTGGATACTGAGAAGATATCAAAACTCTTTGGCTTGGAGGATCAGTAATGCCTGGAAAAACAAACGCCTTCACTTGGACATTTCACTTTATCTGCTTACAAAATTTTTTTTTTTTCACTTTATATGTATAAGCTACTTACATATTAAGTAATGTCCATCTTGGTGGTTCTACCAAGGACAATACTGGGGCAAAAATTATAAGAGTAGCATGTTGTCATTATGGGAATCCATCCTTCCCAATCATGTTACCAAGTTTAACTAGGCATGATGGTTTATGTAAGAGTTGAGTGTAGGAAAGTCAAATAAAAGAAAAGAGAAATTGGTTAAACGTGTTTTGTTGTATCTAATCTGACATGAAAACAGAACTTATTGTTGATTCAACATTAATATTATGGCGCGATAATTATTCAGCAATTTTACCTTTTAGGTAAATCGATACATCCAAAAAATGGCAAATTTACATTCAATGGATTGATGAAAGTGTTGAGATATGCCAACTTTTCCTACAGATTTTATCAGATTAAGTTTGATAACAGAATCATTCAATTGGTAGAAGAATAAGTCTTATTGTTAGGATCAAATATTTTAGCTAAGATTTGCTAGGTAGAAGATCATGTTATCAAGTAGTTTTTGTTGAGATTTTCTAGAGAATTGTTAGCTAAAATTATTTTAGTTTGTTTCTTTGTAAGCACTATAAATAGGGTGTTGATGAATGAAGAAATTAAGCTCCTTTTTCAGCCCTCAATATAGTCTTGATATCTTTGTTTATGCTTCAAAAACCAACAAAGTGGTATCAAGAGCCTAAATCTTAAGGGCCTGTTTCTTTGAGAGTGAGTGAACTTGGTGAGAAACCCTGTTCACTATAAAATTATACACTTAAGCCTTCAACATCAAAATGCCAGGAAATAACTTCTTGTCCAATCCTCCAAATTTTACTGGTGAAAACTACCAAATCTGGGCTGTCAAAATGAAGTCCTATTTGGATGCTAATGATCTTTGGGATGTGGTAGAGACAGATCATGTTCCTGAATTATCGGAAGATCCAACTATTGCAGAAATGAGAGCCCATAGAGATGCAGTCAAAAGGAGATCAAAAGCCATGACGTGCATTCATTCAGCAGTTTCTAATGCAGTATTCACAAAAATTATGACTTGTGAAACTGCAAAGGAAGCTTGGGATACTCTCAAAGTGGCTTTTCAAGGCAATGACAGAACAAGACAAATGCAGGTTTTGAACCTTAGGAGAGAGTTTGAGCTCCTTAGGATGAAAGACACAGAAAACATCAAAGAGTACTCTGACAAACTCTTAGATGTTGTGAATAAAATCAGATTGATTGGAGAACAATTACCAGATAGCAAAGTTATAGAGAAAGTCTTGGTGAGCTTACCTGAAAGGTTTGAGGCCAAGATTTCCTCCCTTGAAGATTCAAGGGATTTGTCTCAAATCACTTTGCCAGAACTAATCAATGCATTACAAGCACAAGAGCAGAGAAGAGCTATCCGAAAGGAGGAAGCAGTAGAAGGTGCTTTTCAGGTGAAAGACAAAATTCAAAATCAACAAGGTGGCAAAGAAAAGAAACAGCAATGGAACAAGAAGAGCAAGAAAGAAGGTGAGTCTAGTAGAGATGAAGGAAGAAGAGGAAAATTTCCTCAATGTCCACATTGCAAAAAGACTTCACATCTGCAACAATATTGCTGGTGGAGACCTGACGTCCAATGTAGGTCATGCAATCAGAAGGGACACGTCGAAAAGGTATGCAAAAATAACAGAAGAGACCAACATGCTCAAGTAACTGACCAACAAGAGGAGGAGCAATTATTTGTGGCCACTTGCTTTGCAAGCAAGATCTCCAGTGAAGCTTGGCTAATTGATAGTGGTTGTACTCATCACATGGCATATGATGAGTCCATATTCAAGGAATTGGATAAATCATATATTTCCAAAGTTAAAATTGGAAATGGAGATTGTATTGGGGTGAAAGGCAAAGGTAATGTGGTTATTGATTATGGTTCAGGTACTAAAATAATTTATGATGTTTTATATGTACCTGAAATTAATCAAAACCTGTTGAGTGTTGGACAATTGCTTGAGAAAAATTATTCTGTTGTCTTCAAAAATAGGAGCTGCGTCATTTATGATCAAAATGGAGGTGAACTTTTTTCAGTAAAAATGAATGGAAAAAGTTTTTCTCTAAATTGGTTGAAAGCAGGTTCAAGTGCATACCCAAGTTTAGTGGATCAATCTGAATTATGGCATAAACGATTGGGCCACTATCACTATTTTGCACTTAACTACATGCATAAGAATAGTCTTGTGCAGGACTTGCCTTTTATAGAAGATAAAGGTGGAGTTTGTGAAGTTTGTCAGTTGGGAAAACAAAGCAGATTGTCATTTCCTCACAACAAATCTTGGAGAGCTTCAGAAAGGCTTCAACTTGTTCACACAGATGTATGTGGTCCAATGAGAACTTCTTCATTATATGGCAGCAGGTATTTCATAGTTTTCATTGATGACTTCAGTAGATATTGTTGGGTCTATTTCATGAAACAAAAATCAGAGGTTGCTGCAATTTTTTTGAAGTTTAAAAATTGGATTGAAAATCAAAGTGGCAAGATGATTAAAGTGATTCGGTCAGATAATGGAACAGAATATACTTCTAATCAGTTCAACAAGTTTTGTGAAGATGCAGGAATTGAACATCAATTAACTGTCACTTACACTCCACAACAAAATGGAGTAAGTGAAAGAAAGAACAGGACAATCATGGAGATGGCCAGGTGTTTGTTGTTTGAGAAAAAATTGCCAAAGAAGTTTTGGGCAGAAGCTGTCAATACTGCAGTGTATCTTTTAAACAGGTTGTCTACAAAATTATTGAATGGTAGAACCTCGTTTGAAACTTGGTTTGGATATAAACCTTCAGTACAAAACTTGAAAGTATTCGGCTCCATTTGCTACAGACATATTCCTGATGTAAAGAGAGGCAAGCTTGACGAAAAGGCAGAAGTTGGGATTCTAATTGGCTATTGCAGCAGTACCAAAGGTTATAAAGTTTATCAACCTTTGACTGCAAAAGTGATAGTCAGTAGAGACATCCATTTTGATGAATACGCAACATGGGACTGGATCAATTCCAAAGTTGAACATTTCAAGGGATCAGAATCTAAAGAATTGCAGGAGAAGAATATTGATGAATCAATAGATCATATTCCAGTTAGAGGTACCAAATTACTCTCTGACATTTATAACAAATGTAATGTTGCAGTTCTTGAACCTGCAGATTATGAAAAAGTTGCCAAAGACTTGAAGTGGATCGAGGCAATGAAGGAGGAGTTGAGAATGATTGAAAAGAACCAGACTTGGGCGCTTGTGGACAGACCAATTCACAAGAAACCCATTGGTGTAAAGTGGGTTTTTAGAACCAAATTAAATGCTGATGATTCCATCAACAAGCACAAGGCAAGGTTGGTCGTCAAGGGATATGCTCAACAATTTGGAGTGGACTTCTCAGATACATTTGCACCAGTAGCAAGATTTGACACCATCAGGTTGATCCTAGCACTTGCAGCTCAAAAAAACTGGAGAGTTTATCAACTTGACGTCAAGTCAGCATTTCTAAATGGCTACTTGGAGGAGGAGATCTTTGTGGAGCAACCTCAAGGATTTGCAGTGAAAGGTCAAGAAGACAAGGTGTACTTACTTCACAAGGCGCTATATGGCCTAAAACAGGCACCAAGAGCCTGGTACAGTAGGATTGATGATCATCTTCTGAAGATTGGATTTAAGAAGAGTTTGAGTGAATCAACTCTTTATGTAAAAATTGTCAATGATGATATAATTGTTATTTCACTATACGTTGATGATTTGCTTGTCACAGGAAGTAAGCCAATCTTGGTAAATCAGTTTAAGGAGCAGATGAAGCAAGTCTTTGAAATGACAGACTTGGGAGAGATGTCCTATTTTCTTGGCATGGAGGTTATTCAATCTCAACAAGAAATCTTCATAAGTCAGCACAAATATGCAAGAGATGTGTTGAAAAAGTTTAATATGGAAAGTTGCAAATCAATTAGCACTCCATTGATGGAGAACGAGAAGCTTAGTAAAGATGATGGAGCTGCCAAAGTTGATGAAGGCCTATACAGAAGTCTTGTAGGTTGTTTGATGTATCTTACAGCAACAAGGCCTGATATTATGTATGCTGTGAGTTTACTGTCTAGATTTATGCATTGTGCAAGTGAGTTGCACTTCAAAGCTGCAAAAAGAGTACTCAGGTATGTCAAAGGCACTGCTGACTTTGGAGTTTGTTTCAAAAAATCAGAAAAATTGGAGTTACATGGCTATTCAGATAGTGACTGGGCTGGTTCATATGATGATATGAGGAGCACTTCTGGATACTTGTTCAACCTGGGTTCTGGATGTTTTTCATGGAATTCTAAGAAGCAAGATGTGGTAGCTCAATCTACCGCTGAGGCAGAATATGTTGCTGCTACGGCCGCTGTTAATCAAGCCTTATGGCTTAGGAAATTGTTAGCTGATCTAAATCAAGTTCAACAAGAAGCTACTCAAATTTTTGTTGATAATGAAGCTGCTATAGCTATTTCCAACAATCCAGTGTTTCATGGGAAGACTAAGCACTTCAAAATTAAATATTATTTTCTTCGAGAAGTTCAAAAGAACGAAGAAATTGTTCTAGTTCATTGCAAGACTGATTATCAGATTGCAGATATTTTTACGAAGGCCTTGTCCAAAACAAGGTTTGAATGCCTAAGAAGACAGTTGGGATCTGCAGTAAAAGTGCCAAGGAGGAGTGTTGAGATATGCCAACTTTTCCTACAGATTTTATCAGATTAAGTTTGATAACAGAATCATTCAATTGGTAGAAGAATAAGTCTTATTGTTATGATCAAATATTTTAGCTAAGATTTGCTAGGTAGAAGATCATGTTATCAAGTAGTTTTTGTTGAGATTTTCTAGAGAATTGTTAGCTAAAATTATTTTAGTTTGTTTCTTTGTAAGCACTATAAATAGGGTGTTGATGAATGAAGAAATTAAGCTCCTTTTTCAGCCCTCAATATAGTTTTGATATCTTTGTTTATGCTTCAAAAACCAACAGAAAGACTGGATTGGTAGCAATCACACATTTAAAGGGATGGATGAAATACTAGATCAACCTTAAATTTGCTGAACTTCTGCCCCGAGTAATTGATTTGGAATGTCAAGAAGAAGGTCAAACATAAATATAGAAACTGAATGATCATGGCATGCTGTAGTAGCCTCGACGAGAAAGGATTAGTACAGAAATTTGAAAAGCAACCGAGGATGAAAATATAGAGAATGGTGTTCATGTTTGCTTGCCGAACTTAGACCCCATTTAGGGATGCGTTGAGTTTACAAAAAACACTTATGTCAGAAGTGTTTTCTATAAGCCACCACAACTCCAAGATGGGGGCTTTAGTTTCGTACTTGCACATTGTTTCGGTATCAGTACATCCCCAAAAAGCACAACAAAGTTTCCTTCATGGTCATGCTCTGGATGTTATGATTATTCTCAAATTCTAGTTCATTTACAGAAAGAAGGCACAGAAAGTGACAAAAGCTAAAAAATTATTGGTAAAACTATTAAGTGACTGGATATTTCCAGCGGTGTTTGTTTGGTAAGAAAATTACAGCTCAGGATACAAAGGCACCTGGAATGCTATCTCCTTATGTACAATGGGAAGCTTTAGTCATCCTAACACACAGAACCCATACAATCCCTGTTTGCACTTTGCTCTTATAGGACGAATGCAAGAACTAAATCTGAGGTACAACCAAAAAGGAAAAGAACAAAAAATGGAAATTGTTACACAAAAGGTTTCCCTTAAACAAGGAAACTCATTTATAAGTCCTGATTGCTGAGAGGTTAACATTAGAGAGGCAGATGCATCACCTTATCTGGTACATGATGACTGCAAGTCCATGTTTCTTATTCTCCATCCTGCAATAAGTTATTGATCATAGTTACCAAAGGGAGAGTTCCCTTTGTCATAATCTCAAATCTCGAGGTATTGGAGGCGTGAGAGAAAAGAGAAAGCCCAAAAAGAGCTAGCTCTGGAAGAAATAATCGAGATGACAAGAACCCATGCCAGTATCGAGGTTCTAGGTTGAAAAAGGCATAAAAAAACCTTCTTGTGGCATCTAAATCAAGCTTCAACAGAATATCCATCCCAAAGCAAAAGAATTCCCTTTGGCGTCTCCTATCTATTGGCCACAAATCTTTCCAGACTTCTGAACATAAATCTGCACCCACAGGAGTTTTCTCTGAACCAAGGTATCGAACTATGGCATTGGCAACAATAGGAGCTGCTGCTAGAGTCCTTGCTACCATATACCCAGTTGAAGGGTGTACCATGCCGGCTGTACCACCAATTCCAACAACTCTCTGAGGTATTACTGGAAGAGGGCCCCCCATCGGAATCACACACCGCTCATCCTCTTCAATACTTTTAACTTTTATCCCAAGGTGCCTCAACCGAGCAACCATCCTCTCCTGAATATCCTCCATCGGGACTCCTGGACGAGCCACAAGGGAAGTTTCTTCAAGGAAAATCCTATCTGATGAAAATGGCATGGCATAAAGAAAAGTTGGTATCCTTTGGTTTCTCTCCTTTAGCACCAAGTTATTATTAAGATGTGAATCTCGCCAATCCATGAAAACCATCTTGTTTACATCAAAGGGATGCTCTTCTACTTCTGCCAAAATTCCATAAGCAACTTGGTATCCGGGATTATAAGGCTTATCATACTGAACCAAACATCTAGCAAAACCAGTTGCATCTAGTACTGCAGCAGCTTGAATGGTAACACCATCATTACAGATCAACAAAGATTTGGACTCTTCATGGATAACTTTCACAACCTTAGCTTGATGAAACTTAACACCATTCACTATGCATTTTTGCATCATTTTCGATTTCAACAGTTTCCTATTAACCCTCCCATAAGGTCTATCAAGATCTTTAGTATTCTGATCATCAATATAAACAACAGCACCTGACCACGTGGCGTCGAGGCAATCTAACAAATCCATAGCCTCAAATTCATCGACCCAGACACCATAATTATTAGGCCAAATCAATTTGGGAGAAGGATCAATTGAACAAACAGAAAGCCCTGCTTCTGAGACTTGCTGTGCAACTGCAAGCCCTGCAGGGCCACCCCCTACAACAGCCAAATCCACAACCAGCCCTTTTGAGGGGTCATATAAAGGAAGTTCAAATTCAAGATTTTCTTTCTTGGTTTCAGGAACAAGTTCCAAAATAGCACTACTACTAGCCTTAATCCAACCATTTCTACCACTCCCTCCTCTAAAGCAAGATTTTTTACAACCAAACTTGCTAAATTCTTGACTAATCTGAGGCTTCAAAGAGCTTAAGGCACTAACTTTATCAGCAAAACCACACAAGGGAGACACAAAATGAAGCTTATTAGGTGTCTTCAGCAAAATCCCCATCTTTTTCCAAGTGGGTACACTTTATTTCAAGTTATTTCAAAAGGGTCTTCACAATTCTTGAAAATACAGTCTAGGTTTCAAGAAGTCTTCTACTAGCAAAAATCATAAATTCCAAAGCCAAATATTGCATAAATCCAAATGCGGGCAACTAAAAAAATGTAGACAGTAGCTACCACCACACATAACTGAGAGAACCATGAACGAACCTGAAAAGTGGGCACTCTGCAAGCTGGACAATTGGGCCAAAAGGGAAGGAGAATATGAATACTTACAAGAGAAAGAGAGAAAAATTTAGTCAGGATTTCTCTTTTGTTGCTTTGATTTGCTACAGCAATAGGTGGTGAGGCCTCCCTGGCTGCCCGCTTGTGGTGAGCTAGTGGTGGATGATATCTTCTTTACGTTTTTACAACTTTTTGGCACCGGGAAAAGGGAGGAAATGCGTCACTGTTGCCATTATTGCAGTGTTTGTTTTAGAGTGGATAATATATTTGATTTGGTTGGAGATGATAGAAATCGAAGTATGGATTTTGCACCATATCATGCACCCAGCACCCACTAACTATTTTAATGAAGAAAATGGTAAAGAGTCAAATGCACTAATCCTAGTTGCGCTTTGCCTTCCACAAACTCATTTAATAAACACTTTGCCTCTCTATTTGATATTTTAAAATAAAAGTGCCTTTGCTATTTTATTTTGTTTCTTTCTTATTTATTCATTCCCTTTTTTTTTTTCTTTTTCACTACTTTCTTTTATTTTTTTTACTATTTCCTTTTCTTTTTTACATTTCTCATGCCACTACTTTGTTTCACTTGCAAATTAGTATTACTAATTTGTATGCTTAGTGTCATATTGTAATTATCTTTTACTTATAATTTATTATTGTTTTATTTATTACACTACTAAAAAATTCAAGACAAACTGTATAACATAAAAACTGATAAATCCTTATAATGAAATCAAAAAGTATATTTTACTAACAATTTGACTATTTAAAAAATTAGCAAACTAGAACTTTAAATTGCTTAATATTTAGAAAAGCATATCAAAAAAAAAATAAAGTAATTAATATTTTTATTTACTTTTTAAACATATAGTTGATTAACCGCTATATCAATACCATCTGAATTTGTTATCGTTGTTATTAATAATTAATTTATTATAAAATCTAGATGTATTGATTTAAGTAATATATAAAATAGTCTATGCGCATAGACAACATATACTTTGTTATAGTATAGACTTTATGATATTGTTATTTCCAATAACAAAAAGTCAAAAAATTGAAATAAATAAAAATAATTGTAGAAAGACTGAAATTAATACAGAGATAATAGCAAAGAAAAGAAAGTAGTTGATCCATGAAAAAAAGGAGAAAATAAAATAAATAAAGAACAGAGACAAGTAGAAGAAGGGCAAAAAAGAAAATAATAAGAAAATAATTAATATGGAATAAGCACTTTTATACTAAAATATAAAGTACGAGGGGAAGAGGGGGGAAGGAAGGGGACAAAGTACCTATTTATTGAGTTGAAAAGGAATAAAGTGTAACTGAGGGTAAAGTTTAGGAAGGTTTAATAGTTTTAACCCAATAGTAAATTCTCTGTCTAAATTTGAGTGATTTCTAGTGAAAATTGTCTGTATTGTGTTTTATGGCAAGGCTATTAGCATTGGCTCGTGTGTAGCGTAGCAGAAAACTACCCCATGCCCTATCCTTATTCGTTATTGAGATTTGGAGCTTGCAATCCTTTAAATATTGTGAATATTCGTTGCAATTTCAATTGGCTTTCCTCCCAAAATTTACTATGCAAGCGAGTTGAACTCAATTAAGTAGTTTGCAAGTTTGCTTTGTTAAAATTCGAGTTTGAACTCGTATTGACTGAATTCGAGTTACTTGACAAGTTCAAACTTGAATCTAATATGTAAAGTTTGAAACCTTGTTGAGTTTAATCGAGTTTCACCTATATTTGTTTTTTTTATTAATATGAAATATTTATTTTGTCCCTTAATTAAAACTATATAAATATATTTATATTTCTTAAACTTGATAAGATTCAATTAAATTTAACTGAATTCAAATTAAGCTCGATTGAACTCAATTTGCATAAATTCGAGTTCAAACTCAAGTAAGGCAAAACAAAATCGAGCTTGAACTTGAATTCTTAAAAATCGAGTGAGTTTGGAGCTCGAACCCAAGTTTTTAAATTGGAGTCGTGCTCTACTCAAACTCGACTCGACTTGATTTGATTTGATTGCACCCATATCAATTTTAAACGTGATTTAGTTGGACTTCCTGTCCTTTTATGTTTTTCTTGTTTTACAAATACGTGCCAAAATATGCCGGAACTTTGAAGAGTCTGCTAGGATTTCTTAATTTATTCCAATGCAAATGTGCTAAAAAAGACCATTGAAAGTCACAAGATTATCCAGGATGAGTTCTATATGAAGGAGAATGCATAGCTAAAGAATCGAGAAACTGTTTTAGGCCATTTTCTAATTTTTCTTAACCTTTGCTGCACTTTTATCCGTGGTTTTCTTTGTTCCTTTATTTTGGCTCTCCTTTTGGTCTCAATACAGAGAACTAGAAGGGAAAATATGATACTAGAAGCCGATCGATGAAATGACTCGACTTTCAGTTTCATCCCCCTACAATTTTCCTTGAAAAATTACTAGATTCCCCATATTTTTTCTCCTTCTTTTAGTTTTGGCTTTCTTTTCTATTTTCTTGTCAATGTAGAGAAGAAGTGGGTCTTATTAGAGAAAGCATGCAGGCGGCCTTTCCTTGTGAGTGGATTGTATGTTTTATTCCAGCAGAAGCAAGTTTTAGGAAATCATGTCATTTCTTCTCGTATTATTGTATCAGATATATATAGTTAGAAACTAATAGATTTTGAATATCTCATCTATAGAGTGAGAAAGAGAATAGAAAAACATATGTACCTTGGATTACGGTGGAGTCAGTTTCTTAGTAAAATAATAGATTTTGTAGAAATATCAAAGAAATGAAACATATTTGGGTTTGTCATGATATCTTTTTTTGGCTTCAAAAATCATATGTGGTGTTTATATCATGAGAAGTGAGGAAATTTCTAAGTATAATGTTTGTTTCAAATCTAGGGATGGCAATCGGGCGGGTGACCGCGAGCACCCGCCCCGCGGGGAATTAATGGGGAGGGGGTTGGGGCGGGGGGCAGGGGAGTGTACCCCCGCGCCGCGACCAGCTTTAAAAAATAAATATATAATATATAATTTAATTAGTTACAAACTTATGATAATGATATTATTAGTTATATGTATTATATAATGTCTATTAGTATATATAATATAATTGATATTATTAATTATACTTATAATTATATATGTGTACTAATATAAATTATTAATTGGTTATACTAAATTTATACTAAATCCCTAATTACACTTAATACAATAATATTTTTTTCTTAAAAAAAGCACAAGCACAATAATGAATTAGTGATTGCATTTGTGCCAAAAGTGAAAACTTGACTATTTTAGTTATATTTATTTCATCATGTTGGATTGTATTCAAATATTTTTTGTTTGATTGTTTTTATAAGTTTCAATTGTAAAATTATAATGAATAATAATTTGATGATGTTTTAATATTTTAGTACTTGATTATTTGCTAAAATTTAACCATAATAAAATTATATAACAAATTTTTATTAGCCCCGCGGGTGCCCCCGCGGGGGAAGAGGACGGGGCGGGGGCGGGGGGAGTTTCTAGGCAGCGGGGCGGGGGATGGGGGAGGGGTCCCCCGCCCCAACCCCGCCCCGTTGCCATCCCTATTCAAATCATATCATTTAGAGTTTCCTTAATTTGATGTTCAAACCATTAATATGTTCATAATTATTTTCAGTATAATTAAACAATTGCAAAGATGTTTCCTTAACTTTGTTTTATGTGTATTAAATGGCCGAACTTTTTTTTTTCTTTTTGGTTAAGGTTAATAAAAGACCAAGAGAATTGGGAAAGGTTTCCTTATTATTAGTTTCAAAAATTTAATTGTCCATTCTAATTTTGATAAAATTAACCAATATCAAACATGATCATATTTTATTGGGTAAAAAACAAAAAAGCCCCTTGTAGTAAACCTAATATATAGAAAAACATACAAAACAACATCTCATACTTTGAACTAAATTATAAATGTGATGGAATCCAATAAAATTAATGGAAATGACTTATTGGAACCTAAAAACAAAATTTTTATACCTAATTTTTAATAAATATACTTGTTCTACCCCTTAACCCCCAATTCTCTCTTTGTAGAGAATGAAACAAATGAGTTTGTTAAACTGCTTTTTGCTTAGTTATAGTAGGACATTTTTGTCATTTAGTCCGTTCCGTTAATTTTAATGGATTCTATTACCTTTACAATTTAATTCAAAATATAAGGTGTTGTGTCGTATATTTTGAAATTACGGGAGGCTTTTCTGTATATTAGATTTATCACAGGATTTTTTGTTTTTTACCCTATTTTATTTTGGTACGTTAATAAAAAATGAAATTAGATTGCAAAATCATAGGCAGTCTTTCCTATTTCTTGGTATGCTACGTTTGGAAGAATCTTCTAATTTTTACAGACTAAACCTAACTAATAAAAGTACATATTCCAAACTAAAGGTACTAATGCTATTTTAAACAATTAAAATAAATCAAAAAATTGAAAAACAAAAGAATGAAGACTTGGAAGCTCAACGGTGAAAAGTTGTCTTCAAATATATATATCTCGTGGTGGGAACAAATACTTGCAGTTCCACCGCCACCGCGTGCGGCGCTGTGAACCCCTGCTTGTTCCTTCTTAAAAAAAAACCCACAAGGCATTAAAAAAAAGGTGGATAGTTGATTAGTTTATCAAAGCGCGTTGAATTTGAGAATTCGAACATATGCACAATACAAAATTATCCAAATAATATTGACCCCAGTTCGTCAACTCCTGAATTATTTCCAAAACAGTAGTAATTATATGCAACTGATCGGAAAATCCATCATTTCATCATTTCATGATTCACCGGTTTGCATGACTTGGGTTATAACCATGGCTCATGTTTATGACAACTGGGAAAGGCTTGTCCGAGCCACGCTGCGGATGGAGGATCTCCGGATCACCGGTGAAATGACTCCCAGGGAGGTTTCCTCCATATCATCATCCCTCTCATCACCTTCCTTCAATTCTAGAACTGCGTCATCTTCCTTCAAATTTAGTAATACTGCTGCTGCTTCACCTGTGCAATTTTCATCTTTATACTTGTCCAGCTTTTTGCTGGCAGCGGCGGGACGGGCATTTGAATATGCTGAAATTCTTGAAGCTACAGATCGCTTGAGTGAATCGAATCTCATCAAGCGTGGACGCTCCGGGGATCTGTTTCGTGGTAGGTTGAGAGATAAAACTAATGTTGTAGTCAAAAGAATTGATTTGTCTTCCTCTGTTGAGAAGCAAGAGAGATTGGTCACAGAGTTGGGAGTTTTA